ATATATATATATATATATATATATATATATATATTGACAAACAAAAATATGTCTCTTAGCCTGCGAAAAACACAGTCAAAAACTAATCATTTTTAGGTCGCTGAATTTTCTTGATTTGGCCAAAAATAAGTTGGAATATCTGACAACAACAGGGACAATAAATAAACTACCATCCAGTTTAAATGTTGTCTATTTAAATGGAAATAACATTGAAATAATACAGGATGGATCGTTTGCACACATGAAACATTTGTCGGAAATTGATTTAAGGTTTTGTTAGTTAATTAGCTTCTTTTTTCGTCCTTTTCCGATTTTTCTTTTGATAAGCTTATTGACTGTTAGAGATAAAAAAATTTCTCTAGCATAAAAAAAATGAACTAAAATTATACCATTTAATTTATCCAGCAATTTTATTTCTTTTTTTATGAAATTTGACAACATATAAAAGCAAACGAATATCTTAATATTTCAGAAATAATTTGCTCAGAGATTTACCGCAAAGTATATTTAATGAGGTGAAGCACAAATTTATTGTCAAATTAACTGGTAATCCGTTCAACTGTGTTTGCTCATTACAATGGATTTTGGATGCAGAGGTAAATTTGAAAACGGGTTACGTTTTTTCATCAGTTTTACAAATTTATGCTAGCTTTTACTGTCGTCTATTTCGTAATGTCATCTTTTTATCTTTGCTGAACAAATGTTGGTATAAAAATTTTCATTGGACCTTGAAAAAAGGGTATCATAAAGAAAGTTTGATAGATCAAAAAACTGTTTTCACTATTCCAGACTCCTGTATATTTTGGTGATCTTGACCGTATAACATGCAAACAGTTGTTCGATGAACAAATGGAGATATCAATCGCAAAAGCAAAACGGTATCTGTTTGTGCTAATACCAGTGATACTGATATCTGTTTCGATTTATACGTTCTATTATCGTCTATTTCATAATGTTTCGTTGATGTCGAACAGTTTCAGAAGGGGCGATCTCATATGTAACTATGAAATTGCATGTCCTCAAGACTGTAAATGTTGTCTAAAACCGGTATGCAACTGTTTTAGCAGATGTCCACGTGGATGCGTTTGTTGGCACACAGCAATACCATATTCTATTGAAGTGACAAGTTTTTTCGTTTTTTTCTTTTTCTTTTTTGAAAAGATTTCATCTTTTTAACTGATTTAGTTTAATTAGGGTCGTTCTTTGCTGTATTCCAGACAGGTCAAAATATTGTTGAATGTGAGGGGTTTCGAGAAGATCGAGTGAGCGAACTACCTGCACTGGCAACGGAAATTCGCTTGAAAAATACATCTTCGAAAGGCTGGTCAACAAAAGTGTTGGGACGACGACGTCGGCTGAAAAGCTTAAATTTAACAAATGCTGGTGTTTCTAAAGTTACTGAGGTTAATAAGTTTAATATCAATGACTGTTAGTAAAAATACTGTTTTAGCATAAGTTTGATCAAAATATTGGTGTAAAAATAATTATATTTTGTTGTTTTTTTTGCAGGATTTGATAAAGGACAATTTTCCAGCATTACAACACTTGGATCTCTCCAACAATTTTTTAAAAACGTTTCCGGCTGCAAAACTTTATGGAGTAGTAAATCTGCAAACATTATTCATTGAAAATAATCGAATTACCAACTTAAATATGAGCGACTTAAAAAGAATGGAATTTTACAAACGTCTAAAACTAGGCGGTGAATCAAACTTGTATCACTGTGATTGTGACTCACCGTCGGATATCCAGATATGGCTTCACGATCAAGACAACAGGGGTAAAGTAAGTCCAGGAACTGTCTGCTTCTTAATTTTTTTAACCACCCAAACTAGCGTTCCTTTGTTAAGCAAAGAGCAACCCCATTTCGTTGATGAGCATGATGACATAGTTTCACTACTGTCATATTCTTGTAAAATTGTATCGCATTACGTAAATTTTGTCATTACTGTCCTGCTGTTGTGAATGATACCAAAAATTGCAGGTGTCAGACTATGGTAACATTTTTTGCAAGCTAAAAGATGACCGAGTTGTTCGAATGGCGCAAATGAGCCCCCTACATCCGAACACATTCTGTCCACTTCTGACTACCCGATCGACAACAGTAGTCTCAGGCGATGCCGCAGAAACAGATAGTTATAATCATGAAATTCACCGAAATATTTTTGGTCCAAGAACACTAAATCAAGTAAAGAGACTAATATTGTTTTCTTTCAGTTTTTAAAACCAATCAATTCTGCCAGCAATCAAAAACTTTTCAGAAAAATGAAACTTATTTAGTTTTTTTAGTTTGTTACACAAAAGTCACTGCGTCAAAATGGTAAACCAAGAAGTCATACCGTTCCTTATCATCGCCATAGTGAACTGTCGTCAACAACAAATAAATTTGATGACGGAAGTAAAACTACAGTAAAACCAAAACTTGATCTTCAACGAAGGATTATGATAACCATCACCTTATTCTTAGCGCTTATCCTTCTGGTATTTCTGCTAATAGCAATTGGAATTATCGCTTATTTCAGGTAAAAAATATTTTTTAGTTCAATTAAAATTTATACAATGACCAAACCAAAAGCTAAGCACATTCTTAATCCTTATTGACTTTTCCACATTAAAAAATTCCGCATCGATACTTAAAGCATCGATAAGTTCAAAAGCCCAGATTAAAATTTTTTCAATCAGATTAATCAATCAATTTTGGCACTAAGCTGCCATGTTGCCTGACTAATTTCTTTTGACAACAAAGTGCTGTAATGCCTGACTGCCCATTTTTTGAAACATTTTAATTTTATTTCTAGACTTTTAGAAGCACTAAAAGTTAAAACGACAGAAGATGTTTATCTAAATAATATTGTAATGTTTGACAAATTTGCTATAGAAGTTTGCTGTAACAATTAGTCCCACAAATAGATGAACAAAAAAAAACCAATATTTTAATAGTGCAATTTGCAGGTATAATTACGTAGGTCATAAATCGCCAAAGAAAACTCGTATAAAAGCTGTATATAAACGTGGTACACCCGGAACAGCACTGTAATATATGCCAATGTGATTAAATTAGAAAATTTTCAAAGTGGTAAAAATAATGTTTATTTAATGTATTTATACGGGTACTATTTTATGAGCGTTAAGCCTGTTTTATAAACTTTGTTTTTTCGAGCTATGTCTTTTCTTGTTGCATTTTGGTCACTGTCCCTCCTACCTAAGTCTCACTGTTCCCCTTTTGAATATACGGTATGCAATGAATGCCCCACAAATAGTAACTGTGAAACTCCTCATGACTATTTTAATAACAATAAAAAAGGTCTTCTTCCTGGAGCATACCATGTAGAATATTATTGTACAGTACACTTTTTATGTGTAATAAATGAGAACTATTTGAAAACATAACAATGAACCAATAACAGTTGATAAAAACGTCCTGTCGTTTTTACTCAAAAAAGTTGTGTTCACAGATACGTACTTTACATCCCCCTTTAATTTCCAGTCTGCTCTTTCTAGGTTAGTATCCCAACAGATCTGATGTATAGCTTATGCTCTTATTTTGTGATAGAGAGTTGAGGTGCTGGCTTTATTTTATCCTAACTATGGCACGACAGAAAAACTAAAGCAACGAGGTATGACGTAAAACGAAAACTTTAATTTAACCAGTAATAACAAAACTTGATGACATTTAATAACAAAAGAGAAATAAAACTTCGAATAAAATGATACATACAACAACAAAAAGTTATCTTTGTATTTTTAAAGTATAGAGGTAAAGAAAGAACAAAAGAGCTAAATATAATAAAAAGCTTTGACATAATAAGGTTTCACCCACGTAAGACGTTACGTGAGGCATCAAGGTTTAGGAGATTGGAGACACACAGGTCAAAGATCTCAAGTAAAAGCAACTTACAGTCTGTCAAGTTACAGTCTGTTTGGTCGGTAGCTTTGATTTGTAAGTGGCTGATTACGGTCACAGTCAGTTTAGTGTATTGCGAGAATGGCCCACGTAAGGCATGTACGGAGAACTACAGTAGTGGTGCTTCAATTTCGAAAACTGTCCGTTTAGCCAAGACACTGATATATAAACCCCAGATGCCTCAATGAAGAAGTACCTGCCAGTGTTTTCTTGGATTCTCAATGTTGCTAACTTCAATTTCTCTGCACATCAAGAGTACTTCCTGTTCAACTATTTCGCTTCCAGAACACAAAGTGTGTGTATTGATAACTTCCTTGACTGCTTGTTCTTACAGTCTGGCTTCTTTCGATTCACCTTGCTGCAGTAATAGACAAATCACAGTTACGTGCTGTCCTTTACATAGATAATATCTCCAGGGAAATTTGCAGCTTTCCGAATTGTGAATCGCAGTCAAACATTTTGGGCACAATTGTTTCCCACTTACTTTTCAGATCCTGCTCTCGTACGAAGTGTATTTGGGGCAACATCTAAACTCATGGCTCAATTCACAGAATCGACATCTCATTCTGGTTTTCTGCAAAACATCTGCCTTTGTCGTTTTTTCTCATACTGTTGTTGACATGACTGATGCTGAGGATGCTGGTTTTACTTGTGGCTTTCTGAAATCCACTTCAGGTTTTTTCTCTGACTGTCTAAAGTACCTTCTTCTCCAGAATTTTGACGCGATTATTTCCCTTTGCTGTGCTAAATTGTTTAGAAACCGTCGTAGGTCTTCAACTAACCAGTTCTTTTTATTTTCTTTAGACTCTTCCAATTTTTCAGCCACCCACATGTGTAGTTTGTTCTCAGTCATCATGAGCTCTTGCCGATTGACAGCCCCATAGGAAGGGCCTTCTTTGAAGTCGGGAGCTGTGATTAGAGCAACGTCACTCTAGCCGCAACAGTCAAGGAGACATGTCAATTGTGTCAACCTTGACTCGGGGCTAATAAAGCCCCTTTTCATGCTAAAAAGGTGCCCGGCGCAGTTGCAAATTTATAAACAATTTTGAGACATTATGGAGAGGTTTGACCTTCTTTGACTATACAGATGGGGAGCGGTTGCTTAAGAGTGTGATGCTGCAGTATTATTTTGTCAAAACAATGTGATACAAAGTGTTTTATTACCTAAATTTGAGGTAAGCTTTGCAGCGGTCATAGCAATGAGAAATTATGAACGAGTTTGACCTTTTTAAGCAACATGAATGATGAGATCTGAGAATAACGTCATAACGTGAAGGAAAATAAGTTTTAGCAAGGTTGCAGAAAATAAGTAGTGCTTGGTGCAGCGGCGTATGATGTAGAACGTGCGGCAAAGGTTGGAGGCTCGATCTTGCAGGAGACCATGGCTTTTGTCTTGCGTGTAGCTGAGCATTATACCGATGTTACATCTATACTTTTTTTTCGCTTATCTCTTTGGTGCTTTAGCCTGAGTTAAGAACAAAAAATAATGCACAACCAACCAACATTACAAAACTCTACACACTCATTACAAATAAAATTTCCAAAACAAAATTAATTTTGTTGAAAAATAAAAAATAGATGATGAAAAGATAAATGATATTCAACTAATTAACAACACCAAGTCCCATACACTTATGTTAAAAATAAAAAATAAAGAGTAATGCATAAAACCCTACATAACAGTAAAAAAATAATGACCAATAACGTCTACCACTATAACTAGTTTCGATTATTGAAGCGATATAACTCAAACTTTCAACCATTATACGATCCTAATCAACCACACAACCTAAAAACAAACCCAGTCATGAAAGAATAACTTATACATTATCAATAAACCAATCGCTGCACAACCCACCTTAACGCAAACATTAATAAAACTCTGTATAGCAACGCACTGACTACGGCGCCACAACAACCACTTACCTTAATAAACATAATCTCATCCACAGTAATATATAAACAGAACAGCAATACAAAGAAAACATATATCCTACCACTAACAATCACCAATTACCTGAAATATTGATTCGACATCCCACTTCTTTATTCCTTACAGTACTCAGAGATACCATACCCCCGATACTTAGACATATAACCAACGTACAACATATCTACAACATTACTCTACTTGACAACATAACTAAACCACTTTCTAGTTCCAACTTCGCAGTGTGCAGTCTTATTCTTAAAGCTTGTAAGTTTGAACCCTATGGTTTGCATTTTCAGCTCGTGCTATATACGTTGCGACCGAATTAAAAAGTGTAAATCTCATGCCTAAGATTAAGCCTAAATACGAGCTTAAGATTAAATTTAGACCTAAGCCTAATCATATGCACGCTTCTTCTCACCTCAATCAATAATATACACAAACTCCAGCTCTCCGTCAGATCTACATAGTTTATAGATTGTTCAATATTTATACACACCTTCTTTTAAGTTCATGTATATCCAAGTTAATTACGGTATATTACGGTATCGTCGCAAAATTTGTAGATATCATTATACCGTAATACAATCTTAACCGATTACATTGCTTTGCAACAAACGACTTTATTTACAATATTTCTTAACGTCAGAATTATATTATCACTACAACGCCGTATACCCAACGCCACGACAAAAGTGTCTCAGGTAAGTGATATTACCATTTACATATATCTTAACCATACGTCTACTAACCCCTTACCTTACTCTTGATAATTATTTAAATTTTACTAACCCAATATATACAACTGATACTGAGTTACAATCTCTCATTTTAATGCTTCTCGAGATATGAGCGTACCCATCTGCATCCGCTGATAAGGTCCTCGGATGGCTCTACACTCATACCTCTTAGGGTAGGCTATTGTCCGAATAAAGGACCGAAACAGCTGCTATGTATAATGCATCTTGGTCTAGCCCCCACATCCATTCAATTCATCACTAACATCCATCTACTTCCTACACTCAACTCATTTAATGTAAGTTTATAGTATCTGCAAAACCCCTCTTCTTCTAAGCCCTAACCCTATCTTAACCCTAAATCTAAGCCTAGGCTCAAGCGTGAGCCTAAGGCTCATTCTATCTCATCTAAAGCCCGTAGTTCTATACTCTAACTTCTTATATCTAACGCTATAGGAGTTCATAACATCCCTACTCTCTTTATTCTTTTTTAAGCTCATAAGCTTCTTCTAAGCTCCTCCTCGCTTGAAGATGGGTTGTAGTAAATTCAATGACGACCCACACATCTCCAGACATAAAAACACAACCAGGTTTTAGATCATCATCAGCGTTGAGTTCCCCCATACAGCTGAGCCTTACGTCGGTTGTTGCTGACAGGTAAACAAATGTGAAGTCAAGTGGGAACGCCTCTGCCGCCTCGACAGTTACCTCCATTACGAACTGTTGCTCGACTCCTGCAGTTCCACTTAGCTCCACGTCAAAATCGTCAAACATAACTTCTACTACTTGGGTGTTATTCATATCTGGCAGCTCGACATGATACAGCGGTATCTCGTATGAATTAGAAGCTTTGCAGAAGACTTCTCGAGAGACACAAACATCATTAAACTTTATTTCGGCGTCTATAGTGTTTTGAATAATCTTTTGCAGTAGCTGGTGTTGCGCTGGGGTGATCGTTGCGTGAGAAGCAAATACCGGCATTAACTTATTAGAAGAGATCCAAGTAAGAAAACACTGAGAATCGCACCATATAATTTGTTTTGTAAATGAAATGCCCAATTCGTTGGCTAAAAATTTAGCTATTCTAATTCCTATGAAGAACTCCATGAGTTCAAAACAAGGGATTGTCATCACTTTTGCAGGACAGGGCCTATTTTTGCTGAAAACAAGAGAAGGATATACTTCAGAATGTGTACTGTTGAAATAGTCCGTTCTCACGTTATAATTTTCAAATCTAACATAAGCTACAGCAGAATTATCTACAAAGACATAGAGCAACTACCAGTCTCCACTATCCCCCATGTCTCTAATTAATGATATCATTCTAAATTTAGAAAGTACAAATATACAACAATTTAATTGACTCACCTTTAAAGAGATTTCACTTGAAAGCTACAGAAAGATCAGAAAATTGGTAAAAACCTTAATCACAACCGATCTTAACAGCTTACCAAAATAAGAATAAACAAAAATGTTCTTGTTCAAAATCAACAATGTCCGACTGCATTGCTGTAATAACTGATATGATGTAAAAACAAACAAAGTTCGCCTTTGAGGTCTGCCCTTTAGCCTCCCAAAAAAAAATTCCCTTTGCTTTACAAATAATAAAACACAAAGACTTTATGATTGAAATATTGTTGTTGGGCTTCGGAAGTGCTCTGTTTGAGCGATGTTTAATGGTGTGAATAAGCAGTTCTGTACCCTTCGTTTATCCAAACACATGTCATTTGTCAAACTTGATCAGAATTCTCAGGTTCTCAAACTTTTGTTACGGGAGATCATAACGAGAGCTAATGAACCTCTGGATGATAAAATAAAAGTTACCAATATCTGATACGTCCACATCAAGAAGCAGGCTCAACTTCTTCTCGCTTTAGTACAATTTCACTGATGGTGTATCCCAAAAGACTTTTCCGTGTAATCCGATTTTTAGTAGCTCAAACTTGTCTGCCTGTTTCAAACTTGTTTTTACCTTTCGATACTTGCTCTTTCTCTTTTCCGCCTCCTCGATGCCCTGTGAATCTGCTGGCTGCATGGCTAGAAACCTTCCAGTAACTTTATCTTCAGCAGCTAGTTCTATCTCACCATCATTCAGCTTTTCAAAGGCAGATCTAAACATTTGAAAGACAAGGTCTGAGCCTGAGCAAATTGACCTCTTAATGTCTCTGTGATCAAATAAGGTTGTTGAAGAAGAGCCTGACTTCACAATCCAGAGAGGAACCTGGATGCAAGCTTTAGTGTCTGCAATTCTCTGTACTTCTTCTTTGTTCAAAAACTGACTCTGGCAGTTCAAGATATCGCGACCACATTCTTCTTCGTTCAAGACATGCCTTTGCACCTCGCTATTACACCCACAATCACACATCTCATCGCAAGCACAACATTTAAAACAATTACCTCTAATCATGTCCACCTGTGCAATTTCCAAGCAGTGGCCAATCAGTTGACTAACGTACGAAGGATCGTAGGATATTGAGTACTCATCAAAAAACTATAGCGTAAACAGTGAGCATTCAGGCAGTTCAGCAAAATCAAGACCTAAAAAATCAAATGGGATTTTAATAATGCAAAAAAAAAAAAAAATTGTTACCTTCATATAAATCTTTTATATGTATTATTTCAGAGTCAATTTCTTGTCGTCTTATTGACGTGAACAGGCCCCCAGTTTCAAATGTCATCAAAATATCCAAGCCGCAGCAATAGCGATAAACCAGAGCATTTACGCCGCTTTCCAATAAAATAAATGTGTAGACTGAAAAAGACAAAGAATTAAAAAAAAAAGGAATTTATAGAGAAATAACTAAAAAAGATGATGCGAAATCCAAAGACAAAATAATGGACGTATATAACTTGGCGGAAGGAAAATAATTGACGAATAAAATCACGATAGCTCGTGGTGCCGAAAAATTTAAAAAACTTAAAAATTTTGTACATA